AGCCTCTGGACTCGGGGTGTGGGGGGGAAACACAAGAGGCACATGGAACCCACTCCCCACCCCCAGGGAGCCCCCAGCCTGTGCACAAGCTAGACACAGGAAAAGGCGAGTGCGGCAAACCCCCAGGCCTGGCAGAGGGCTGCTCCCTCCTTGGGCAGCAAGGCTGATGAGGGAAGCCAGGGAAGGCTTCATGAGGGGGTGGCTAGAGCCGGGGTCCGGGGACGAGGAGGTGTCTCTGGCGGCAGTGGACAGGCGAAGCGTCCCTGGCAGAGTGGACGGTGTGCAGAGCCACAGAGGCAGGGGCATACGGGGTGTGCCTGAGAAGCGGGGTGGGGGTGGGGTCTCTGGCGTGAGGAAGACGACTTCCAGGCCTTGTGAGCCAGAGAGGAGTTGGGCTTGAGGCTGAGGCGCAGGGAGCCAGGGGAGGGTTCTGAGGAACACAGGAAGTTCTCCAAGGTGCAGCAGTTAGATGAACGGGTGGGGGTGGGGAGGCGGGGAAAGGGGGAGGGGGCAGGATTGACAGATGGGTGCATACGTGTGTGTGGACTGGCCAAGCACCTTGACCCCAAGAGGCAGCGTGAAAGAGCATGTTTCCCAGGCCAGAAAAGGCTGCCTCCTCCAGGGAGTCCTCCAGGAGTATTCTCAGCTCTCCAGGCCCTGTGTTCTCCAAGGAGAGAAAGTGGTAATTCCTAACTGGCCCGTTCCTGACCTTTCCTCCCAGTGGGTCAGCCATCACCTTAGGCCTGCTCTCCCCAGCAAGGCTGAGCTGGGCCCGGGGCTGAGGTTGCCTCGCGTGGCTGAGAAGACACACCCACACTGTGGGAAACGGGTTCAGCCCACCACCCCCGGGGTGCCTCCCTCAGCCCTGGCTCCCAGCCCCGCTCGTCCTACTCGCTCTACGACCTTGGACAACATCCTTTACCTCCATTTCCTCATCTGTGAAACGGGGCTAAAAATAGGGCCTGCCACCCAGGATTTTGCAAGACTCACGTGGCGTGAGCACAGAGTAGGATGTTCTGGAATGTGGCTGGAGCTAGCCAGCAGCTGCCTGAAGCCTCCTTCCCCAGGAGCGAGAGGGCTGGGGCCTGGCTTCCTGTCACAGCAGGCTGCCCTGAGCCTGCCCTGTCCTCCACACAGCTGCTCTGTCCCCGCAGGTGGTCCCTGAGGTCATCACACAGCAGTAGCAGGACCAGGAACAGGAGCCCCCCCCCCCCCCAGGGCCCCAGAGATTGCTCAGGAATGTGCCATTTGCCCCAGAGCCAGGAGATGAAGGAGCAGGGAATTGAACCCCCGTCTGTCTGGCCACAAAGCCTCAGTCCAGGATCAGGATGTTGGCTGGGAGTGGGCATGGGGTCCCCATCGGCTGGGGGCACATCTGGGGCCAGCCAGGCCTCGTGGCCGCTGGGCCATTCCATGGCCCCTCCCAGGGCCTGGCCGAGCCCGCGTCGTGTTCTTCAAATGTGGGTCGCGGAGGCAGGGACGGCTTCTGGGTGGCAGCGGGGTGGCACACCTGGGCTAGGGGCTCGGCCCTGGCCCTTGCTGTCCGAAGTTCTCAGCAAGTTGCTGCGCTCTTCAGTGTCCTTCTGTGAAACAGGCAGAGCCGCCTCTCCGCAGGTGACTACGGGGACAGGCAGGCGGGGCTGTGCGCAGGCCTGGGGACACAGGCCCTGCCCAGGCCCTGGAAGGCGCTAAGCCAGTGAGGGCAGGTGCAGCTCCATCTCACCCCACCCCCACCCGCGTCCAGCAGGACACAGCTGGCCTCTGCCCCTCAGACCTGCCTGGACCTGCCTCCTGTCTCCCTTGGGCAAACCACCCCCCTCAGACTGGACCCAGTGCCCCACCCCCATACCCAGGCCGGCTGGCCCCTCCACCCCGTCGGTCGCGGCTCGAGGGCCCCTCCTAAGGGAGGACGCAGGGTCAGAGCAGGGCAACCTTGGGAAGCCAGTCCACTCGCCGTCTGCTCGCCCCGTCCCCGTTCTCATAGCTTCTCCCAGTCCTGACCCTCGGTCTGCGTCCACCATAAGCCAAATCATGCCGGAGCAGAAGCCACGGGTAATCCTCCTGGCTGGCCGCCTGCCCCCTCCCCGTCTTCCCTGCGGGTGACCCTGACCTGTTGTTTCCAGCCTTCCCGGAGTTGCAACACTACCAGCATTGTTTGTCTGATTTCACAACGCGGCTGCCTGTCCAGGCCCCCCGCCCCCCAACGTGTCCTGGAAGGGCAGGCAGAAGCCCCGTGTGTCTGCGGCAGGGAGGAGAGGCGAGGGCCAGGGCGGGACGGACGTCTGCGGCGGACGGACGCCCGAGGAGGCCCCTGGGCATGTGGTGACAGCCTCTTCCTAGGGCCTCAGTCTGCACAGCCCTAGCACAGGAGACCTGCACGCGGGCCTCAGAGTCCTCCTGGGCCCACGTGACACACAGCAGGTTTATTCGAGCCCCTATCACGTGCTGGCCGCTGGGAGCCGGCCACGGCAGACACAGCTGACGGACGTGGCCACATCGCATGGAGGAGACAGACGCAGGCCTTCGTGACGTGGCGTGGGCAGCGCTAGACCAGAGAGGGCGTGAGCTGACTTTGTGGGTGCGATCAGGAGAGGGTCTGAGGAAGGGGCATTTGCGCTGGACTTCGAAGGATGAATAGGAGTTCACGGCCTAGTGGAAGTAAGAACTTTGAAACTGCTGGCCAGCATTTGGCTGCCACCGAATTTGGGGGATATCCTGGAATAGGGGTGTGAGGCTGAACCCGGAGTACCAGAGCCTCGGCCGCCTGGTGGGAGGCCAGACGGCCACCAGCGCTGCTCTCCGCTTCTGAGTGCCCACGTCGTTACGTGAAGGCACAACGTCCCAAACAAGCCAGGAGCCGGCAGGATTCGGGGCCTCCGGGCAGGCGAGCGTGGGGCTCTGGGCGGGTCTGGAGTTGCGTCTTGGGGCTCCGTTCGCCCTTCCCGGCTGCGGCCTGGTCCTGACGCCCCCACGCGTACCCGGCTTCCTCTCCTGGACCTGCGTGCTGACAGCAGTCACGCCAGCAGCTGCTGTGAACCGAGCCATGGACTACGTTGCTAGTGGACTTTGCTAGCTATGAAGTGTGCTGGGCGCAGGAGGGGTGACCGTTGCCAAAACGGGGGCCCATCACCGGCCCCTGTAGGGCTGCTGGCTTGGTAATGGGGTGGTTTGCCCCGTGTGGGGGCGATAGCCCGTGTGGGGCTTCCGGCACAAACATGGCCCCCGCCAGATGTACTGGAGTCTGGGGCGAGGTGGGGGGACAAGGCGAGATGGGGGAGGAGCCTCCCAACCAGCTCAGAAGACTTATTCAGCCCAGTGTTGGGGTGCTAGGCCCTGTTGGGGGACACTCCTGGCTGGGCCCAGCCCCGAGGCGGAGCTGACTTAGAAGTGTGCCTGGAGGGGAGCCAGCAGAGGTCCCCGCGTCTGCACCTCCAGAAGGGGCCGTGGAGCGGCTGTTGGTGGGGGCCCAGGGTCCCCTCCGAGTGGTGTCCTGGACTGTGCTGTGGAAGCAGCGTCAGCCCCTGCCTGCCCCAGGGGAGCCCAAGGCCCCCCAGCCGCCACTTGGCTTAGCTTCTCAGCTTCCTCTACGTGGAGGCCACTGGCCAGCCAGGGGAGAAGGGACCCCTTGTGGGGCGAGCGGGGTGAAGAGCGAGGGGGTATCGGTGTGGCTCGGCCGGCAGCAGCCTGCGGGCGGCCCCGCACGCTGCCTCCCGCAGCCCCTCGACCTGCCGCCGGCCGGCTGTGATTTTGGTGCAGTGCAGGCTTTCAGCTTAACGAGACAAATTGATATTCTGTGCCAGCCCAGGGATGGAGCGGCAGCTGGGGCGCTCCCGGGCAGTTCACAGTGGCATGGGCTGGGGGCGGGGGAAGGGGCTGGTCTGTAGTTGCCGCCTGGGAGGGCCTCCCCCAGCCCTGACCCTCCCCCACAACACCCCCATCCTGACAGGTGGCCTGAGAGCTGGTCCTGAAATTCCTTCCATTTTCAGCACCCTCCTCCCAAGCAGGGCACCCCTCCTGGGCTGGGGAGGTAGAACTCCGGAGAGGGAGGCTTCAAAATTCCCCTCAGTTTGAAGCTCCCCCATGGTGACCCCCTAATCTTGCACCTAGGACTGTCCCCTAACCTTGCACCTAGGACTGTCCCCCACCAGCCTGGACATACAGCGGCAGCAGGTCTGCAGAGAGGAGACAGAAAGAATTGGGCAGCCGGCTAGGGGGCCCCATCCCCGTAGACTCTTCTTTGGGGGTCCTTGGACATAGCCCCCGACATGGTCAGCCCCCCCATTTCAACACAGATGCCCCTGCAGATTATGATGGATGTTCAAGACATAGGCAGACACCCCAGCTGTGGTCACTTGTCCAAAACTGGCCTCTTCGGGGATCTTCTGCCAGGGCTGCAGCCCCTAGACAGGTGGGGGTTCACCTGGGCGGGGCAGTGGGCTGCCTGCCACGAAGGTAGTGTCCGGGTGCAGAAGGCACTCACCGCAGGTCCTGCAGCCACAGGCGAGTTTAGTCTAGGCTGAGCCCTCGAGTGACCTCTGCCCCCTAGGTCTGGGGGTGTCCTGACCAAAACAAGTGGGGAGCAGAGCCCTCACCCAGCCCCACAAGTGCCCCCACATGCCGGGGATGACTTAGGACTATCTGAGCAAAATCACCCCGCCCCGCGCCCATTTCTCCCACCCGCCGCGCACCCCCTGACGGGACCCCCCCTCCTGCGACTCAGCCCAGGGCCCCCCCTCGCCATGCCCTTGACAATCCCTCCTACTTCTGGGGAGCGGGCATATTCCTGGGACTCGGCCAGCTTCGGCTCCTCATGATCCCACGGGAGGAATTAAAGCCGCAAACAACGCCGTGGTGGTTCGGTCCACGCACCCCGCCCCCCACCCCTCCGCCGGGGCCCCCAGCGGCCCTCCCTCGTCCTCCGCCCCTCCCCCCGCCCGCCCCCAGCCTCGGCAGGCGCGGCAGGGGCGGCCTCGGCCTCCCCCAGATTGCATTTTGCCGGCGAGATGCTCTCCTAGAAGCCGCGCGCCTCCGCCCCCCGCCCCCCACCTGCTCGGGCAGGATGGTACAGTCTGCAGAGGGACCCGGGCACGCCGGCTGGGCTCGGCCGCGGCACCCGCTGCCGCACCGCGATTACGGGGCTGCCCGCCTGGAAACCGTGCTGGATTGCTGGTGATTTTCGTAGCCAAGTAAGTACCGGCATCCCCCAGCATGAGAAAATAAAAAATAAAAAGCGCCCGCTCCGCTCTCCCCTTCCTCCCGCACCCATTTTATTTTGTTTCATTTCATTTGGTTTTTCAGCGCTGATGGTGGCGGTGGCGTGGAGGGGGTGGGAGCGGGGCTTGTTTATCTGGCCCGGAGGCTGCATGGAGCCGCGAGGGAGGCACCGGTTAAGGGTCCTGCGCCGGGGAGGGCCAGGGTGCGGGGGAGCAGGGGCGCTCTCGGAGAAGCGTGTGCGGGGCGCGGGAGGATCCCGGATCCCGCAGCCTCTGGACCGGTACCCCCAAGGATGTTATGCAAGGACCAGCAGACCCAGGGAGGGGGCAGGCTTCCCTTTCTTCCCCACGAGTCCCAGGGAATGCTGAGGACCTGGGGGTGCCCCCGGCCCACTGGGCTGGGGTCCCAGGAAGAGGCCCAGGGCGGCCCCTCTGGAGACTCCCCTCGGTGCGGTGGGCTGCTGTGTGCCAGGACCTGCGGCTCGGCCGGTGGGAGCGTGGCGGCGGGGAGCGCGTCTGGGTCCAGAGGGGGGCAGGAACGGGGTGGCCAGGCCATTTTGCAGCAGTCATGCTGGGTGGCAGAGCTGGCACTTTGGGCCAGGAGGCGCCGGTCCTGGCCAGCCTGGGGGCCTGGGACTGGGCACTCACCTGGGGCTCCTCCCTGCCGCCTGGAGGGTCAGGGCTGGGAAATCCGGCAGAGGCATCTGGGGGGCTGCAGGCAGCCCCCCGGTTTCCAGCCAAGTGGCCACTCCACACTTCAGCTGGCCTCTGCTTGCCAGGTTGTGTGGGGAGGGGGTCTCTGCCGCTGGAGGGGCCCCAGGGGGCCTGCCCCCCCACCCCGTGCCGAGGCCCAGCCTGGCTCGACCTTCAGAAGGGTAAGTGAGCAGGTGAGCTCGGCGGCAGAGGGTCTTGGCTTGACGCTGGGCACCTCCTGCCCACACAGAAGGGGCTTCCTCCTCGCCGCATTGCTCTCCGAGTCACTGGGAGGAGGCAGAGCTGACGTCTGGGGCATTTCCAAGAACGGCGGGCGCCATCCGGAGAAATTCTCCTTTGACGTGTGCAGTAGGAGGGGGCTCGGAGTGCTGACCGCAGGGGCATCTGCCTGTTCACTGGGCTGAAAGAGCCCTGGCGGGGGGGGGCTGCGGCTCTGGGGGGGCCTGCAGGGAGGTCCCGGGGAAGGCTGACCGCCCCTGTAATTTAGCCCCGTACCCCCAGCCCCATCCAGGGGCTCCACCCTCGTCACGGGGACCAGAGTCCCTCCACCGAGGCGCACACACGGCTCCAGTCCACGCAGTGATGCATCACGCGTGTCACATCACACATGCACACACGAGTGCCCGCGCCCACAGATACACCCCAGCAGGTCGGCTCCCGCCCCGAGCACACCTGCTCACCTGCACGCTCGGCGTACACACACACACACAGGCGCGCACCTGGGAAGGCAGCTTGCCCACTCGGGCGTGCAGCGCTGACACGGGACTGCGGAGTCCCGCACACGGCGTCCCGAGGCAGCCAGGAGGTGGTGTGGGCCTGGGGCTGGCCCTGCAGGACAGCGCCGGTGACGTGCAGGGAGCGGGCTGCAGGCCGAGCGGCCGCCGCGTGCTGGCCATGCCCACAGGTGAATGCCGGTGCACGCACCCAGCCCCCGGGCACTCAGGCCGCACCTCTGCGGAGGCTCTCGGCACACGGCCCCCCGGCCGCCAGCCAGGCACCACGGGGTGAGGGTGCCTCTGAGGGGCCTGGGGAGGGGCCTGCCCCTCAAGGGACCTCGCGAGGCAGGAGGGACTCCCAAGTGGCACCAGCCCACACCTGCCTGAGGGAGGGCCAGCCACGTCCCGGGAGCTGATGCCAGCCTGGCGCCAGGAGACCGGCAGGCCAGTGTGGAGGCTCTAGGAGCCGGGACCCACGACGCCTTCGGTGGCCCCCGAAGTCCTTTGACCTCAGGCCAAAGGTCAAAAAAGCTGTCTGTGCCTTATGCGGCGTGGTCAAATGCTGGGCTCCTCCTGCGCTCCCCCTCTCTGCCTCAGCCACTCACAGGCAGAGTGGGGAGCGGGGAAATAATCCGCCAGCCGGCTACTCGATAATTGCTCTTCACGCCCGGCTCCGAGGGGTCTCCCTGAGCCCTGTCGTTCCCAGGCCCCAGATGAGGAAGCTGCACAGAGAAGTGAAGACACTCACCCAAGGTCACACAGCTGCAACCTGCCGGAGCGGGGAGAGCCCGGGCTGACTCCCTGCCCGCCCGCGGCCCTCCCTGTGCAGGGCCACTTAGTTGGGGTGCCGGCACATTGGGCGTCGACAGGCCAGGAACTTAGAATTCGGGGGTGAGTTTCCGAGAGGGTCTCCCGGCTGCGGAGGCAGAACCCTGTCTGGCAGGGGTGGTGCTGGGTAACTGGCATCCAGGAAGCCAGGGCAGACCTGTGCTCTCCAGAGTCACCGGTCTGAGCCAATGGGGGAGGGAAACTGAGGCCCAGCCAAGCGCAGGGACTTACCCAAGGTCGCACCGTGCTCCCAGAGAGCAGGGAGCCTGGCCGCCCTCGGGTCCCCGTCGGAGGCAGCAGGGACCAATTTTTGCTCCGGTCACCCCCAGATGTTCAACTCCCGTCAGATGGCCACGGGCAGCAGGCCCAGCTCCGTGACCTTGGCCAGTGGTTTGGTCCTCCGTGGCCAGGCCGTGCCTCTGCCGGCCCCGCCTCACCCCACCCCTGTGGGCGGCCGTGCACGCTGTAGAGGGCAGTGCACGGAAGAGGGGCTGGCCCTGGGGCCTGGAGCAGACAGGTGAGCTCCCGCCGCCACAGTGGCCAAGGTCAGGAGCCGAGGCAAGGAAGACCGAGCTCCGGGCCGGGACCGCGGCACTGGCTGTGCTTGTGAATTCCCCTGTTGGGGGCAGGTGTCTGGGTCCTCCCCAAACGATTCAGGAGGTCCTGGGGTGCACCGTCTCAGGCGCCTCTGTGTTCTCACCGCTGCTCTGTGTCCCCGGGGAGCTGCGGTTGAGCGGACGGGGAGAGCTCGCGGGCTCCCCGGGCTGGCTGGCCGCGGCTCTTCCCTTTGGCCTGCCCTTGCCACATCTGGAGACCCTGAAATTGCCGGCTCGTCAGTGACAGGCTGAGACTGAAGCGCGTCTCCCCCCGGCCCCCGCGGCCCCCCACCCCAGCCCCTGGCTCAGCCCACACAGCTAAGCCAGGCGCCGCTGGGGACAGGTCTGCCTTGCAGCCCAGCAGAAGGCTCTGCTCAGTGGTGAGACCGAGGGGTGCCCCACAGAGACGCCCTGGCCTTGGGCCCCCCCGGCCCTGGGGGCAAACGCTCCTCTTCTGTAAACCCCAATCTTGCCTCCTTTAGGAGGGGCTGGAGCTAAAGCAGGCTATTGGGAAGATGTAGAATGGTGTGTGTGAAACCCTGGCACACAGCAGGCACAGGGGAGTCCTGGGGGACCCGGAGGTACAGGGTGTGGCTCCTCTCAGCCCCCTGTAGCCTCAAGGGGTGCAATGGGTCCATCTGGGCGCAGGTGCAGGGCTCGGTCCCAGCCCCACCCTAAGACCAGAACATTAAGCCTGCGGTAATTCTTGTCGGCCCCCCACGGCAGCCTCCGACAGGAAGCGACTCGGCTAGCCCCGGCCAGAGACCATGGGCGGTCTGGGCTCACCCGCACCGAGCTGGGAGTCGGGGGAGAAGCAGGGCCAGTGTCCCCAGCGGCAGGGCGGGGCCTCCACTTGCCCATCTGTTCAATGGAGCCCATCAGCCTGCCCATGTCCCGGGCGGCTGTGGAGGCGGCCGCTGACCCGTGGGCAGCAGGTGCCTAGCGCACAGTGAGGCCAGGCTGGACCTCGGGATGCGCGTGGTCGAGGCCGAGGGTCAGGGGTCATAGCCGGGCTCCGCGGGGCGGCGGGCGCCGCTGTGGGCTTGGCCTCTGGCCTGTCGGGGAGAGTTCGCCCCGCGCTCACTTCACAGGGCTGTTGTGTGAGCCCCTGAGGAGCAGGAGATGCGCCACACACTCCTGCACCTACTGCGTGCTGGGGTGAGGCCCCGCCCTGCAGTGAGGAGGGTGGGTGCGTGTTGAAGACCTGAGGAGCCCGGTGCCCTATCCCGGAAGCCTCTGCTGTCTGGGCAGCGGGAGGACACGGCGGCCAGGCCTAAGGGCAGGCGCAGGTCCCGGGGTGGGGGAGGCCTTGGTCAGGAGAGCTGGCCTCTGGGCCCAGCGCAGACCCTGGCGGGTGACTTTGGCTCGGCGTGACAGACCCTGGCTTCGTGCTCCCCCTTTCTCCCCTAGAAGGCAGCCACCTGGACCCCCATGAGCGGGGGTCCTAGTGAGGGCAGACTCTCCAGCCAGCCGACCCGGGGGCGAAGGCCTGACACCCCGCAAGCCCAAGGAGTCGCCAACTACTACTTACTGTGCGTGTGTCCTGGGGCTGCAGTCCCAATGCAGCCCCCCACAAACTGGGGGTAGAGCAGCAGAAGTGATTCGCTTCCGCCTCTGGAGGCCGGAAACCTGAAATGACGGTTGCTTCCTCCGGAGGCCCCGCGGGGGTTCCCTCCGCCCCTCTCCCTGGCTTCTGGTGGCTGCCAGCAATCCCTGGGGCTCCCTGGCTTGTAGTTGCGTCGCTGTAATCTCTGCTCCCCTCTTTAGGTCACCTTCTCCGTGCCCCCTGCCCTCATAAGGGACGTCAGTCTTTGCTGGTGGGTGGAGAGTCCCCCCAATCCAGGGTGGTTCTGTCTGGCCATACTTCACGGATTGGCCTGCAGCCTCCCAATGAGAGCCATGCTCTGCGGGTCCCAGTGGACGCGACTCGGGGTGGCGCCGTCCTCTCGTCCCCGGCGCCCAATGTGGCCGGCCTGGCCCTCGCAGCCTGTGTCCCGCTCTGCAGGCACAGAAGCCACGGCAGGGGTCAAGGGCCAGCCCGCCTCCCGTGGCAATGCGGGACTCGAACCCAGGCCTCTGCTGTCTTCCTGTCCTTCGGAGGCGATGGGGCTGCCCAAGC